AAATTGTAAAGTATACCAAACGTAACAGCTTCCAAAACACATAACAAGTCACAATTTTTTTAGCGACTGTAAAAACACCGATAAAGTAAAATTACGACAAAATCAAACGAATACTACAGAAATACTATGTACTACATAGTTGTGTATCTCTATAAAAAATAAACCTATTCATAACACATATTCTCTTGAGTAGATCTCACTTATAGAAATCGTGCCTCCTACGACACTCGGGGGCGGATTAAAGCGGGGACTATTCAGACTTTAGCCCCAGGCCCGGGCTAAAAAAAAAAAGGCCAGTTATGAGATTTAGTTTTTGTTAACTTAGTCTTTAGTTGCAATCATAGTAGGCTCGACAGAAAAGTTTACCCCCAGGCCCATCTGAACCTTAATCCGCTCCAAAGTATACTCAAGCTACGCCTAAGTTGAAGATGTAATGACTCACTTGAAGGTGTTGGCGACTTTGATGGCTGTTCCGTCTGCTCCACCATTCTTGTCAACCTGAAAACGATAGTTTCAGCAAGTAGTTAAATCTTTCTACTTCTTGCTTAAATACCGACCTATCGCATCCTAAGTTATTAAAACAACTAGCTTTGTCAAATAGACGGCGGGAAGAACTGTGAGCACAAGTGAATATTCCTGTGTGTGAGTGTGTGTATGTCTGATAAGGTATTCATTTTATGATTGGTTGGTTGTAGCACGTGGAATCTTGCGTGCAATGGCTCGCGCTACCAATGGTTAAATACACTCCACACAAGTAGTAACAATTATTTCAAAAGGATATATGTATTTTGTACGGATTATTATCATGCAATACGCAGCTCCTTGACTTGGTATTCATGACTGTTTGGTAAAAAATTGCTTAAAATATAGGGTATAAAAATAACAATCAGTTTTCTTTTCGTTCATAAATGAAATTATTGAAATTTAATCATTTAACGGAAAGTTCTACGTTTTATGAAACAAAAATTAATATGCTGTCTAGTGTCTGTTGATAGATAGTCAATGCTTCCATGAATTTCATATCTGGAGTTTTGTTACCAAGAAATCATAAGGACTAACCTGATCTATGTAAGCCTTCTTGACTCTTTTAAAGCCCCCCCCCCCCAAGTGGCACAGCGGCATGTCTGCGGATTTACAACGCTAGAAACCGGGTTTTGATACCCGTTGTGAGCACAGCACAGATAACCCATATTGTAGCTTTGTGCTTAATTACAAACTAACAAGTACACTATTTTAAGTTATACATATCTCTGATATATGGAAAATAATTTAATGATTAATTGTAAGTTAATTACTATAAAGCTCTAGGCCAAAACATATTCATGCTTATACAAACTGTGAGTACATAATGTGCACATATTGGTAATGAAATTATTATTCTAATCGATATCAAACGCGTGTATATAAAAACTATATCACTCATATGACATCTGCTTAACTTTTTCTGTTTTTCTTTCGTCACACAAGAGGTTCCGATTTACGAGTAAATACAGTTTAATTTAAGGGCATTAAAATTGTATTTCGTATTTATGGCGAAGCTACTGAGGTTATTTACTACCGTCCCATAATTTTGAGCTACTGACCAGAGGGAAGGTGGTCAGTCAGCAGAAATCTACGAACCACCATCCACGCTAAGACCTCCGACAGAGGGCGTTGTGTCATACGGGTATAATTATTGAAAATGGTACCATTTCGTGAGGCGGAGCGTTCCTGTGGTTGATACCACGAAATATCTCCCCCTTCCACTCGCTGTGTATGCGTTATAAGAGAGACTGTCAATCTCTGAATATTTGTCATATTCATCTTGTCGTTTTATATAATAACGATAATTTTGATTAATATAGCTATTCTGCCTTAACGCTATAATTTCTCAGCATATCTGAACAGTGTAGTAGAGATTATATGAATATAGATTCAACATAATATGTTATCTGGCAAAAAATAAAAAAGAAGCTATATTTCTTTGTCCTGGTGGGACAGTGACAAGTGTAAAAAAATTTAAATAAAAACATTAGGAATGGGAGCACCTAAGAGAAAGGTAACAAGGTAGGAATGGGCGAGACAACATTATAACACTTGGTGGTGTTTGATATGGTAAAACCTCAAAATGGGTGTGGCCATCGTTTCGCCCATTCCTACTTCGTGTCTTTTTGTAATTTGGTAATTGTTCAAACTAAATGAAAGGTGTATATAGCTAAATTTCTCTGTTGTAAAGTTTGTTTCAGCAACCAAGTACAGATTGACCCGTGACCCTAACGAAGTGTGTGATATTATATTGGCGTTTGATGTCGGAAGTAAAACAGGAAGCTTCAATAATCATACTTTGCTTATGGGAAACATTATAGTTATCTTACTGGTAAGGGGTGGGCCAAAAGAATAGTATCAAAACAGCTGATTTTTGAATTGTTTAAATTTGTTGCGTATTTAAAAAGGATTAGTTGCTGATAAAACTCAATTCATATCCCTATTGGATCAAAGTTCAAAGTAAAACACGAAGTAGGAATGGGGGAACGATTATTAGACTATTTTCTTGTATGTTCTCTAATATACGTATCTTATTAACATTTTTTTAATATTTAATTTTGTGTTTAATCATTCCTCGACATTTAATTAAATGTCATTGTCCTATGTAAAATGGGAATTATTCTTACACAGTATACCAGGAACAAATAACTAACCTCATCAGTATGTATTAACGTCAACGGCGTATACCTAAGTTAAGCTGTTAGAGCGGTCTCGCAACATTGCCATAATAGCTATTTTTATTGCATTTCGTGAATCATACAAACAATTTTCATAACAAAGTAGTAACCTCTAAGTACGCCAGCAGAATATATGAATCTATATAAGATCTAGATCACTAGATTACTACTTTGGCCTTTGCGCATTATTAGTCGCTATGGAAACCCTACATTTTTCATTCTAGTGAGCACCCAAGAAGTTAAATATTCGTTTGGATGATAAATTACTTTGAAGCTTGAATTAAACGGCGTTTTTCCCCACTTCTTTATTATTCTTAAAGCACAAACTATTTCAGCACATAAAAAATATTATTTAAAGTAGGCCTTCAAAAGAATCGTTTGGCAAACAAAGTTATAATCAGTACGTATAGGTTTAGTTTCCATAATACATTGTTTGCATTCTAAACAGCTGATACAACTTTCATTGTCAGACATATTGAAAAGGTTTTATGGATCTAAGCCTGATCTTAACAAATAGGGCTGTTTATAAAACGTTTAGGAGATTTCTGAGCCCTTTTTTAATTCACCATAAAGTATCCTAAATTAACTTTAGGTGTGTGAATAATTTTATGGCATTAGGCCTAGTTAATTATTCAGTATTATAAAGTGGACAAACTGTTTAATTATATGTACATCACAGATGATATTTTAAATTTTATCTTCGGGGAAAAAGAAAAACGTCTGTAACATACATATAGGAACATTAACAATTTGTTCGCTGTAAAAAATAAAATAAAAGTTTGTTTTTCGTGCTGCCATCTGTAAGGAAGCATTTCTTAGGGATCTACCCATAAATTTTGTAGTAGTTACTTTAACACGCTTAAAAATCACAATTAAAAAAAAATTAGCAATGAAAATATTGGTGTACAGAGATGTCAAATTTAAAATCCACAAAAGAATATGCCCCCCAATGGCACAGCGGTATGTCTGCGGATTTACAATCCGGGTTTCGATACCCGTAGAGGGCAGAGCACAGATAGCCCATTGTGTAGCTTTGTGTTTAATTACAAACAAACAAACAAAAGAATATTTTGTGGTACACCATCAACAATTGTTTAAAAACTGATTTTGTTATACTGTATTTTCATACAGAGAAAAATTATTATTAATATTATTAAATCTAAATGTTTTAGCTCATTAACTTATATTTCGAAGTCTATGTTCACTATAGTTGAATAAATTATTTGGGATCTACAACAAGTTTTATACACAAAAAAGTTGGCTACTACATAAATTCTGTTAAATCATATACATGATTAATGATTTTTATTGATATTGTTACGTCTCCGTTTGTTAATTAACTTTCCGTAACTTCGTTCCGACGAAACTTTAGCGACACAAGTTCTTTACTTAATAAAACTGGTTTATTCTTTCCGAATATAACTCTGCGATACACTTAATTTCAATATTCGCGCTAAAACAAACAGTATCACGAACGAACGAACGTTAACTTCAACAATACCCTGTGACTGCAGTTCAATTACTCACTGTCTACACACACATTATCCGCGTCACATTGTCCCCCTCTTATATATACCAGCCTACCCTATCTAGCAAATACTAGAGCATTCCCGAAGGAACAAGATAGTTCTAGAAACTAGAGGGCGCCACACCAGTCACGTGACCTCGATGACGCAACAATATCATGAGTGATAGCATTCAGAACATTTTCCTCGATGTTTAGCCTCCCTCTCTAATCTACTATATAAAGCAAAGTGTTTGTCCAGGAAAAAAATTACACGGTGGTATATCTATCTTTTCATATCTGTTCCTTATACGTTTCCACATTTATTGATCAATCAACACCAAACTTGACACAGTGATATGACATGAGGGGGGTTGTTCCCCCCCCCCATCTAATTTCATATTGCGAGAATTCTTGAAAACAGAATGTCTTTCTTTTCACTATTGGTATTTTTATCACACTTTTAATGTTTATTATGCTAAAAAGAAAAATAGAAGCACAATTTTCTATTCTTTGTTACAAACGAGTTTTTACTAAAAATAGAAACACAATTTTCCAGTTTTTGTTACAAACGGGTTTTACTAAAATAGAAACACAATTTTCTATCCTGTGTTACAAACGAGTTTTTACTAAAAATAGAAACACAATTTACTATTCTTTGTTACAAACGAGTTTTTACTAAAAATAGAAACACAATTTACTATCCTTTGTTACAAACGGGTTTTTACTAAAAATAGAAGCACAATTTTTTATTCTTTGTTACAAACGAGTTTTTACTAAAAATAGCAACACAATTTTCCATCCTTTGTTACAAACGAGTTTTTACTAAAAATAGAAGCACAATTTTCCATCCTTTGTTACAAATGAGTTTTTACTAAAAATAGAAACACAATTTTCCATCCTTTGTTACAAATGAGTTTTTACTAAAAATAGAAGCACAATTTTCCATCCTTTGTTACAAATGAGTTTTTACTAAAAATAGAAACACAATTTTCCATCCTTTGTTACAAACGAGTTTTTACTAAAAATATAAGCACAATTTTCTATCCTTCGTTACAAACGAGTTTTTATTTCACCCTTCCAATACTCCAGCTAGTATTATAATAAATAAAGAGTTCAACATGATACTTTTTTGGCGGAAATAAAAAAACAGTGACAGTTTTAAAAATAGACTGTATATTTAAGCTGTTTCGTCTCTATTTTTCTTATTATTTGTAAATTTTACTTATTTCTTCTTATTTTCATATTTTGTACACATTTATTCTTTCTACATTAAAATTTGTACAAGGTTAGCTGTGGTTACTTTGTACTGTTGACCAGAGAGAAGGCGGCCATCCAGCAGTACCCGTCGCCACGGTCCGAATAACAGGATTGACTGACACTTTTACAAAGCTGAAAGTCCTGACAGCGTTCAGCAACATCATGTC